GGATTACTCCTTGTAGACTGTTGTTGACAGCAGGGGCCATGGGCTCATTAGGCCTAAGTGCCAAATCTTGGTAGATACTTGACTGCACACTCTCAAGGGCTATGCCATGCCACGAAACCGCAAGGTTGGTAACCTGACGAGCTAGCCAGTGAGGCAGTGCCACACTTTCTGAGTGAACCACGTCGAATCGTTCCGATTTGTTCTTTTCTTGAAACTGTTCCCAGGCTTTGTTATAACGCCATCGCCCGGGCTCTCCCTCATGGAAATGAATCAGAGGGGATAAAGTTTGACTGTCTTGGTCTTGGGGTTGTATAAGCTCTTGAGGTGGTGAAGTGAAGACATGAACTTGGTGTCCACGGCGAGCTAGAGCGGTATGCAGGGTATGAGCGTGCCTTTCCATACCACCCGGGACGGCAGCGTTAGGCCATTTCCGGGAAAAGACGGCGATCTTCAGAGCCACGGGCGGTGGATTATTATCGTTGAATTTTAGGCGATTCCATGAAAATTCCGCGGTACGCAGATCACCAGACCATGTGTTTATGTGGGTGGATAGGGTGGTGCACATGGAAGAGGTGGGGGAGTGGAGGATGAGNGGGCGGTGGATTATTATCGTTGAATTTTAGGCGATTCCATGAAAATTCCGCGGTACGAAGATCACCAGACCATGTGTTTATGTGGGTGGATAGGGTGGTGCACATGGAAGAGGTGGGGGAGTGGAGGATGAAGAGAGCTGAGATGGTGAAGAGAACAATGAAGAAGAGGGTGGTGGAGAGATTGGATTTGAGGGAGGCCATGGGTTTTTTGGGTTTGTTGTTGAAGGCCATTTTTTGAGGTTGTATTGAAAAGAATACGAAGTATAGAGAATGGAGTCAATGGGACTATTTGGTGTATATGAGTTAATTTGATTTTGTCCATTTAATTACAGGTTTGAACTATAAATTTCATGGCTGAAAAGTTAAGGATAGTTGGGGGTTGTTGNTGGGTTTGTTGTTGAAGGCCATTTTTTGAGGTTGTATTGAAAAGAATACGAAGTATACAGAATGGAGTCAATGGGACTATTTGGTGTATATGAGTTAATTTGATTTTGTCCATTTAATTACAGGTTTGAACTATAAATTCATGGCTGAAAAGTTAAGGATAGTTGGGGGTTGTTGTTGTGGGAGGTTAGGCACGCACTGAAGCAAGTGCGGTGTGCTGGAGTTTTGCTTTGAGTGCATTTCTCACGCCCTTTTGAGAAAAAAAGTGGATTCTTCAGGGTCACATTTTGTGACTTGTTCATTCATTCCGATCTCTTTTAATACATCTCTTTCAACACATTTACTTTCATGGGTAAAATAGAGTGAAGGTATATTAGAGGTATTCGTTTATTATTTGGTTGGCAATATTAGAATAAAATTTTTACTACTTTGTTTGAAGTGCGATATGAGGATTTTGCCGTAGAATATTCTTTACTCTCGTAATTCAACCCAAAGAACCAATAGGAAAAAAAGTAGAAGCAACATTGTTACCTTAAGGAATCAAATTGGCTAAAACTTACAGCAATCCACTCGGTTGTGTTAAACCAGCCCAAGTGTAAAAAAATGGCCTATATCAACAACTAAGGTTAGTGGTGCCAGTTTTATCCATTGATGTGAATACAGTACGAATTTGAAACAATACAAAATCCGAAAATAACATTACTAATTGAAAATGAACTAAAAACGACGTGACCCAAAAATAACATAACATAAAAATAACACAACACGACAATACGAATTGACAGGCTAAATTATGGTTAGGCCAAAATGGACGCATCTAATTGTGCATATGTTGACCAAATGGAGTGAAACGCAGCCAATTTAGGCAGGTTTTTGGTAGTTTGGTCTTAAAGTATTTGATTTGAATTCCATGCCCTTTTGACTTTTGAAACTAGTGAGCCATTGAAGTCACTTGCAGGTGCCTTTTTTGCTTGGCCTCAAAGCAATACGCCACTTTGCTTGTTATGTTTCTAAGCACCCCTACGTTGACTCTGATTTCTGTAAATCACATGTCGAGACTCATATTTGAAGAAAATGGGAAGGAGGATGATATTGGATTAGTGTCACAGTCGAATAGGCTAAGCTAGAAAATATTCTAATAATGTCAGCAAGAGCACAACCAGGAGCCCGGGAACATGAGGAGTAGGGTTATGTCTTGTCGTGCCATAATTTTAAGTCATGTAAATTGTCGTGCAAGTTATTTGTGTCAAAAGTTGTTCAACTCACAACTTGTCAATTTATAATTATATATAGTTGAGTTTGTATCATATTTAATTACTAATAATTACTCGTGTCTAGAGGCACTACGTTACCTGTAAAAAATTGTAAATATTTTTTTATAAATAAAGTCAATATACAATACAACGATTAAATTGATATTATTCAACCTGTATGTTGTATGCAGAACATATATAATCAAATCTTTATATAATAAAAGTTACGCTATAATTACTGTAACATATTAATTCAAAAATATGAAAAAATATAATTATTATTGATCAAATGTTCACAATTTTAATATTTTTAATAAATTTTATCTCAAATTTTAAAAAAATATAACTATTTGTTTTTTTTATAGATTTTTACCTAAAATTCATAACATTATCTCTATATCATTTTTCTAATGTGAGTTCATATAATTTTTATGAGGAAAAAATTCAAAAGTTTCACGTGAATTCTCGTAAATGTAAAAAAATTTGTTAAAAAATTAAAATCAGTTTTCATTTAAGCTCAACTTAAATATTCTTAAAATTCAATCGAATTTAAATTTTGGTGGAACTATTCCCACCCCACAAATCTCCATTCTTATTCCATTTAATTTCTTATTATCAAACTACTAAGTTCACCCCTTCTATACTCATCCCATTAGTAACTAAGTCCACCTCATTCTACATACACCCCCGTTTAATAAATAAACTCACATTATATTTTGTCATAATTAGATTTTTCGTTATCTATTTCATATCATGCACTCATAAAAATACTTTTTTAACATAAATTTTTTAGTGAGATACATGTTAGTATTACTTTTCAATTTAATTTTATTTTTGATTCCTTGTTTATTGTATAAATTTTTATTATTTTCGGTATGTTTTGATATCTTTGTCAAGTTTAATAATTTTTTATTTAGAATTTATAAGTGTGTGTGTATATATATGCTTTCAGATTATTTATTATTTTTTTATTTTGTTTAGATTTTACATCTATACTTGTTATTTTTTTTCTTGTTCAATTTTGTGTTTTTGCTTGATACTACTTTTTTTTTTTTCATTGTCGATTTTGCATTTTTTTTAATTTTGCTTATTCCTTTAATCTTTGCTTAATTTTTTTTTTCATTCTTGTTTCGGTTTTCTTATTTTTTTTCTTTTTTTTCTTTATTTCGTTCTTTTCTTTTTTAAAATAGGTGTATGTAACATGAGATGAGTATATAAAAGGTGGACTTAGTAGTTTGATAATAAAAAATTAAATGTAATGGGAATGGAGATTTGGAAGTGAGAATAACCTTCCACCCCTTTAATTTTAAGTAAGAATTTATATTTTATATTCGACAATCAAATTCAATTCAATTCGAGTTTTAATCATAATTACGTTAAACAAAGAATTGAATGTAAGTTTGACTCAATTAACACTTCTATATTAAAGCTACAAACTAATTTTTATTTATTCTCATTCACTGTAATGCCAAAACATCCTTTTTTTTTTTTTTGATTTGGTTATTCTTTAATACTTTTACGATCNTTTTATTTATTCTCATTCACTGTAATGCCAAAACATCCTTTTTTTTTTTTTTGATTTGGTTATTCTTTAGTACTTTTACGATCAATTTCAATTTGACTTCAACTTAAATATTCGTAAAATTCAAGTAAAGTTAAGTTTAAGTAAAAATATATATTTTATATTCGATAACTAAATTCAGTTCAATTTGAATCCTAATTATAATCACTTCGAACTGATAATCGAGTAAAATGAAATTTGAAGAAAGAATTTTGACCGGTTGATCAATAATTGTAAAACAATTTGAGCTGTGATAAGACAAATAATGTTAGTTCTCTTAGTATATAGGTATATCTTATTACATATATATTATTCGCCTATTATACTATTTGAATATTATAATATTTTTATTTCAATACAAACTATGATTCATATTATAGTCATTCGACTTGTTTTAACGTAAAAAATCTGTATTTAAGGTCCATTTGTTTATTTAAATTTTTTTAAAAATCATTTTTAATTAGAATAATAATTAACGATATAATTAATGTGTAATATGAGATAGAGAGAAATAAGAGTCTTAGAACTGTAGAAGGAATGAAAGTCTTGCTCAAAAAATTGGAGGGAGAGGAAATTTAGTATTAAGACTATCGGATCAATATTTCTTCAAACGATCTGAGCCGCGAAAAACTAAAGATAAATAAATCTAGCTACTTTATTATATAGATATTCATGTCGGTCTTTGGTGGGTATGTAAATCCAACAATTTACCGCACAAATCCCTTAAAACAACACTTGAACTTGTTAATTTCGTATCAATCTCATGTCGATTTCACAAATCATATCCAAAATTATTAGGCCCAGTGATTGGGTGGTTATGTCAAATACAAATTCCAAAAAAAATTTCTAGCTTTTAGTGTATAATATTCATGAGCTAAGACGATTTTAACATGCGATCTAAATTATTCACACGCAACATACATCGTGAATTGTTAATTATTTCAAATGTTGTTATCTTGACATATATGNAAATTATTCACACGCAACATACATCGTGAATTGTTAATTATTTCAAATGTTGTTATCTTGACATATATGTCAGATTATTGCTACAAAACACAAGAACTGGTGCCACGGGTCAGGTAGACCTTCGGGTCTGATTTCCCCCAAAAAGAAGAAGCAACATCTATGTTACATTTGGTGGAAGGTTTATATACAAGAGTTACCATAAGCTTTAAGATGGTTAAAAGCACAAAACAAACTGTAATTTCCTAGCAATTGTTGAACACATGATTCGAGTACCACCACTACTGCACTGTAACCCATGCTAGACTACCACGAAAAGTTTGAACGACGGCCTTCAAGAAAAGGTATATGTACCTGAAACCGACACTTTTTTTCACGCAAATGACCGAATCACCGGAGAATTTGTAGCAATGAGTGCTGAAAGGAGGCTGACGACAAAGGCACTGTTGTAAGTGGTGGGTTCAGCTTGCATAGAGTTGTTCCTGGAGTCGATGTAGGTATCATTTAGGAATGGACCACCAACAAGTGCTCCAATTGCTACATTTGGGTTTGGAGCTGACGAATTAAGCCACTTGAACCCATCGCCACAGCCTGTTTGGGCATCAACCGGAATTGAAGCTCCCCTGTGGTGTACATACTGAGGGTAGCTACTTCCATACCCAACAAGGTAGCTCATCTTCATCGGGTTTTCACCCAGCACGTAATCAGCCTAGACACAACTCGGAGTCAGTCTATAGTTGAGGCAGAACTAGGATTTGACCTTGGGCGTAAACATGATTGCATTAGTATGAAAAATTGATATTAAAAAATTGAGTTTATGCGTGAAAATATGTTACGGCAGGATTAGGGTGTTCGCGAAGGATTTATCCTTCGTGAATTAACCTCGCGAGATTGTCATGATTCGAACTCAGAATATTTGAGTTGTAAATTGTTAACTATGTAAATATAACCTTTACAAAAAAATTTTGGTATTTTTGGTAATAATTGTTCAAGAAAGTCAGGTTTCTTTTCTTCCTAATCGCTTTGGTATTTTGGGAATGAGCATAGCTTTTAAAGTACTTTTTGATGTTGAGTAACAGCATATACCTGTGAAATGGCAAACTTTCGAAGGTCCATTGGCTCGTATAGTTCCCCATTGCAAAATAGCGTTGATGTTTGTGAGCTGAGCATGTAATCACTATAAAGAACAGCAAGAAATGCTGAGGCCACTGAATACTGCAGAGCATCCCACTCGCTCACCCATATCAGCCCACCTGCATCATCATCACAATCAAATAGATGGATTTCACTAGCTTAAAAAAAGGTCTCTCGATAATGGTGACAATTTTCAACACAATGCGTTAATATAACATGAAACTGATACGAAATTTACGAATTAGGATTGAATAATTTTCGATATGAACTCAAAAACGATAAGGCCAATTAACATGAATGATAAGTGGGTCGAGAATGAAAGGGGCATGTTTGTGCAAATCAAACAACTTCAAGGGTATTACCCTCTGTCCTGCAGGATGTTGCCATTGGTGAATCTGGTAGAAGCCCACACAAAACAGCCTCAGCAGTCTCTCTGTACATCTGGAGGCCTAGATTTTCTGCTGTTGGGATATTTTTTGAACCGACGAAATTCACCCTGGAAAGTAAAACCTGATCCAAAAGTGAGAAATGGTTAAAAAAAAATTCAAATAGATAACAAAGGGCAAATTAGAATTGAACACCTTCAATTGTAACCCTAACTCGCATTGCCCTCTCAGTTACCATCTCAGTTACCATGTTTCTCTCATTCCACATACAATTATGGTTACTGGTCTCACATTGCTCTCTCAACTATTGTATTTCTCACATTGTGCCACCAATTATGGCCATTGGTTTCACATTATCCTAGTTTAGATATTAAGAAATGTATTTTTCTACACGTGAGAAAATTGGACCGGTGTGAAACTAATTCAAGTAGTTGATGGAGCAATGTGAGAAACTCCAACAGGGCAAAGTGACATAAGGTTCATAATTGAGGGGATCAAAGTGAAAGTTTCCCTAAACAAAATTTCTATCAGATAGAATGGAAAACCCCAAAATTCTTTGTTCTTATATCAAGTTAATGTACCTGAGTTGCAGCCAACTTGTTGTCCCAACTAAACCATGTTGGACTTCCCCAATTGGCAAATCCATTCCCATTCAACACAGTCACATATCTGAGGTACCATTGATCTCTAGTTGCATGATAGAGCCATGAAGCTGCCCACAAGAGCTCATCCCCGTACCCACTTGAGTTGTAATACTCCTGTACTTGAGGGATGCTAATACTATAAGAAGATCTATAAGTGTCTGCAAAAGCAAACAATTTTTGAGCATGTTCAAGGAGTAATTTGGAGTAGGTTTTGTTGGTGTTCTTGAACACCAAAGAGGCGGATGCCATGGCTGCCGCAGTTTCTGCTGCAACTTCTGTTCCTGGATAGGATGTGTTTATTTGAGTGAGAGGTCTTCTCTCTGTCATGGTTTCTGGCCTTTCCCAGCATTTGTGGTCTAGCTCAGGATCACCAACCTTTTACCACATGTGCACCAACGTATAACAATTCAGATATCAGAAACCATGTCTTGCATAATTATAGACCCAATTATTGATTGATTAAAGTTGATGATTCTGACATTGTAAGGGACTATAATATGTTGGTTCTTGTTATGATTTAAGGAATGTATTCTAACCAAAACAAAAAATACAAGTTGTTGGCATTCGGGTTTTGGATCCAAATCAAGTCGTCCATGGGTGGGCATGACCCAGTTAAGAGTAGTTAGGTTGTAGGTTATGGGTTATTCCCCTTTTGTTACGGAATAACCCCGTCCATGTAAGGTGGTAATCAATTTCCTGCTCTCTCTCATCAAATTTGTACATTCATATAACCACTTATCAGAATAAATAAAAAAGAGTGTGTGTGGGCATTGTCTTTGTGTGCAATTCTATATCCATTCTTGCTATTGAAGACAAGAGAGGAAATAGACTCTAGAACAGTGGAAACTCGGGTCTCAATCCTGTGAATTCACCTATCAGGAGTTGTGTGCTTATGATCGAGAATAGCTCAGTGAAACAGTATCAAAGACCCTGGAATCGATGTCTTTCAATTTGGACCGGATATGGCTAGTTTACGTATGCAATTCATTACTGATTGCAAGAACAAAAAGTTGGTACATATTTTACTATTCTTACACATTATTAAGTTGCAGGGTGTTTATATAAATTCAATTCACAATCCAAAATCTTACCAACCTGAATATAGAGTACATTGTCCGAAGGATGGGCATTAATCAGATAATCAGTGATCCACTTCAAGGAGTCTTGAGCATGTCTCAGCTCCTTCACTGCTTTCATATGCTCTCCATACTCGAGAATTGCCCATGACAAAACTGTTGCTGTGAAAGCCATCGGAAACCCGAACTTCATGAGGTCTCCGGCATCATACATTCCTTTTGACAGATCCAAATTCGCTTCTGTTCCGTCTTCTCTGCCCGAATTCCCTCTCCAAGCAATCTGATTGTTCACCAACTTACCAGCTGCAATCAAATAGTGATCAACCAACTATAATAAGGGATGATAAGAAGCAAATAACCATAGTTGAAGATACAAGGAGAGAAATGTGATAATTAATGGAGCAATATGCGGTACGAGATATAATTGAGGAGGTCAAAGTTTTCAGATATACTGAAAAACTAACAGCTGGTATAGAGCACTACTGTAAGGAAAAGAGACCTACATCTTTGTATGTCAAAGAATTGCATAGCAATATTAAGAGCCTCGGCATATTTGTGGACGATGGCACCTCCATGCCCTGGGGCAGGAGAAGCCTTCGACTCCGATCGATTAAAATTCTTCCGGAGAGTGAGTACAGACGCTGCAATGACGAGAGTCGTAATCACGAACACGAATAACCACCAGAACCAGCCTTTGGACTTGGGTGGCTCAGTTTCCATTCAATCTTAATTCACAGAAAGTCTATACTCTATACATATACGGCCAGTTTTTGGTTTCGTCAAGAAACAAACAGAAAAACGGGATTATATCATTAGCCGCCCCCAGCCACCAAAAGAATGATTCGGAAGTGTTGGTGTAGAAGATTCAGACATTCGGTTCTTTGTTGGAATCTGGTTGTATTCTTTGATACAAACCCACTAAAATTCGATACAAACTATGACATAATTGACAGACCTCATTTAGTTCCAAATGAAACTCCGTCGGCATGGAATCAGACTTTGTCTTGGTGGGTCAAAATTTATAATTTTAGCCGACTGAAACGAAAATAAAATGAAATGAAGTATATTGAAAATTCTTGTGTTTTGATATATTTTTATTTTAAATGTTTTGAAAAAAATTATCAAATTTTCTAAGTCTATTTTCATCCTATTTTTGAAACAATAATATTATTTGAATTTAATTTATTAATATAATTTGATAACTTAAACTATCACAATCATTCAATTAATTTTGAGTCTTAATAAATACTAGAATTTATTGTCAATTTAATGATTATGAATGATTAGACCAACAAACTATGTTGAAGTAGTATTACTCTTTCTAAAATAAAGTGGAGCGTTTCTTAGTTTTTATTTTTTTTTGATCAAAAAAATGGGGAAGAGGGGAGACAAGCAGGTAGTGACCCCCCCGGACGTGACCACGAGAGTCTCTCCCGATGTAGAATGTTCAGTTAGTCATAGATACAGACCCCTTTGGAGTAGTCCGTCACCACTCCACCACCGAAACACTAATGTGTAAGACATGAGAACACCGTGGATCGATCCTTGTTTGATAATCTTGTGGGAGTCTTGAAACGACCCTAAACGGGCACANTGTCAATTTAATGATTATGAATGATTAGACCAACAAACTATGTTGAAGTAATATTACTCTTTCTAAAATAAAGTGGAGCGTTTTTTAGTTTTTATTTTTTTTTGATCAAAAAAATGGGGAAGAGGGAAGACAAGCAGGTAGTGACCCCCCCGGACGTGACCACGAGAGTCTCTCCCGATGTAAAATGTTCAGTTAGTCATAGGTACAGACCCCTTTGGAGTAGTCCGTCACCACACCACCACCGAAACACTAATGTGTAAGACATGAGAATCCCGTGAATCGATCCTTGTTTGATAATCTTGTGGGAGTCTTGAAACGACCCTAAACGGGCACATCTTACCATTAGACCACCAGCTCCGGTGGTTTTTGAATTGAAATGATGTATGCATTGAAATAAAATTTTAATTTTTGATCCAAATGCATGAATCAAAATTATTGATAGTAGAGATTGTTGAAGATACTAAATAACCTATATATTCGAAGACCAAACCGGTTCGTAAGCCAAAAAACCAAGCCCATCAAGGCCCACAACATTATGGGCCACTTTTATTTCCAACCCTAACCTGGGGCCAAAAATGGCCCAATCTCGGGCAGGTCACGTCGAGNAGTAGAGATTGTTGAAGATACTGAATAACCTATATATTCGAAGACCAAACCGGTTCGTAGGCCAAAAAATCAAGCCCATCAAGGCCCACAACATTATGGGCCACTTTTATTTCCAACCCTAACCTGGGGCCAAAAATGGCCCAATCTCGGGCAGGTCACGTCGAGGCTGGGGGGGCCATCTAGCATATGACCTCCCCCATCACACACGCGCACAAACATTAGTATTAACTCTTTATCATAAAATAGTGGACAACATCACACAACTGAAGGGACATATAAGTATACGATATCATTCATATATACATAGGATGACATGCCTTAAATTCAAAGGTTTTTTTTTTCTACACACATACATTTCTTCATTTCCAAACCTCACATTGCTTTATTAGATTACTACTAGCTTTTGGCACTGTGAGTAACTGGAGAATTTTTCCAGTAAATCTTAGCTCCATTCTCTCTCTTCTCTTTAGCAGCAGACACAACACTTCTGCTAGCTTTTGGTGATGCTGGCCACTGCCCACTAGTGACAGCCATGTCCCTCAGATGTTGAAGACCTTCGAGAGTTTCGATAATGGCTGGCATTTTAGGCCTGTCTTTGGGGTTCAAGCTCACACATTGTAATGCTAGAAGGGCAATCTCCTTTGCTCCTTTGACAGAATACTGCCCCGCAAGTCTTGGGTCGATCACGCAGCGCAACCTCCGGCTGCTAGTCAAGTAGGGTTTTGCCCAATCAACAAGGTTTTGTTCAGTCTTGGGCCTTGTTTTGTCCATTGCTCTTCGTCCTGTTAGTAGTTCTAGCAGAACTACTCCAAAGCTATATATGTCGCTTTTGGTGGTTAAGTGCCCTACATCACCAAAACCACCCCAACAGAAATAGTTTTCACTTTATAAAAAGGAGGGCATAGACTGAAAATTTGTGTGAACTAAAATTTCTTCTTTTTTTAACATAGACTCGAGATATATGTAATCATCTATAAACTACGTGTATCGAGTCGAGTCGACTAGAACGTCTCTTGCAAGATTCGAATTTTGGAATTCATGATAGTAACCTCTTAAGAGCTTCTCATTCGAGCTACGTGGTTAATTTTTTTGAAAATCTACTTTGAGTGACAAATGAGTACCTGTACTGACATATTCAGGGGCAGCATATCCATAAGTGCCCATCACTCTAGTGGTTACATGGGTGTTTGATCCTTCAGGGCCCATTGTTGCAAGTCCAAAATCTGATAATTTAGCATTGAAGTCCTGTTACAAGACAATAAAATATATTAATTTTTATAATAAAAAAAAGTTGACAGTTTATGGAAGAATTTTCGATCCGATCGAGATCAGATTAATCAGACCAAGTGGGTGACAAGAATGAATACAGAATCTAGCAAGACATTGGAAGTTTTGAAGTCACGGTATATGACAGGTTTCTCAGCACCATGCAAGAAGGCAAGACCTTTGGCTGCTCCCATTGCAATCTTCAACCTTGTGCCCCATGGCAGGGCAACTGAGAGTCCTGCAATTTATAATGCGTAAGTTACAATTCAAGACAAAACACAGAGTGATCCGATCCCGCCCCCACCCTGTATATTTTTCCTCAGTTTCTCCAAAGATAATATCATTTGTCGTGAATTCAAGTAAGACTCGATATGAAACACTTAATCAAGTGATCATATGAAGCACTTCTTACTCTTAAAGAGATGATTTTCTAAGCTTCCTCGGGGCATGAACTCATATACAAGAAGTCGCTCTTCATCTTCACAGCAGTAACCGATTAATTTCACCAAATTTGGGTGCCTTAGCTGTCCAAGAAATATTACTTCCGCCTGCAAAGCCAAAAATTACTGATCATTGATACCGGGTCGGGCTAGAGTGGCCCGCGGGTCAATTTTTTGCCAGGAAAAAAGGTGAACTTATATACATTAAAAGTTGAAATTTTCAGCTTAGTTGTAAGTTTTTATTCCAACATATTACTTATGTAACTTATTAATTTGTAAATAATAATAACTTATTATTTATGTAATTCATGAATTATAACACTTAAACTTATACCTAAAAACTGAAAAATGGTCGGGTTTGCAGATAGGGTTAGCGGGCTGGGCTTGGGCTGACTTGCTGCTGGAGGCATCACTATGTCCTGTGCCACAACTAGACTTGTCAATAAATCGGATTTTGATTCGAATTCGGATATAGATTAATATTTTTTATCATTAATTCAAATCCGAATCTAATATATTATATTTTAAAGGATTCAGATTTAAGTATACCTACATTCGATCCAGTTACGATTTGATCCGAATTATTTATATATTTTTATATAAATATTAAAAAAGTTATGATTTAATTTAAACCCGATTAATTGACAGGACTAGACACAATTATTCGAGCATAGAGCGAGCGGGCTAATTTTAAGGTCGGGCTAGGTTTTTTAGGTCACCAATGGTCTGTCCAGTCCATGGACACCCCTACTCAGGCTTACTATGAGACCACCCATACAGCGACTTCGGCCAAGAACTCTGGATTTAGCCCAATTACCATGGGCCAGTCCAGCCCATCATCTCATGACTTCCTGGTGGGTCATTGTTGTTGCAACCATTTCTACCATAATAATGGTTGCCATTATTAATTGTTGGGTTAGATTCCTTTTACAATAAATTTTCTCTAATTATAACTGTGTGCCATGCGCTTGAATTAAACATCATTTTCTGAATCGAGTATGGGAGGTAAAAAAGATGGCCCATTGAAGGTACCGCAGACAATTTCACCCATCACGAATACGATACTAATTCGACACGATTAATAAATATATATAATAAAATTATTGAATTAATGTTTGATACTTAAAATATATTCCGTTGGTATTGAAACAAACACGATATGAATTATAATAATATAACATAAAAATAATAATATGTGGATGACACAAGACGACATGAATTGACACCCCTAATTGGAGATGATATAATCACAATATGAGAAGACTATGGTATTGGGGAAAAAAATTTGGTACCGTAATTTCCATTTTTTACTAATTTTATAGGTATTTTTACAACTTTTTTAAATGTTTTATAAGTTTTATATATGTTTTTACAACCAAAAAATTTATTATTTTTGTGGGAGATTTAAAATTTTTGTGAGTATTTTTACCATTTTTGTAACAACTCTTTTCACTATTTTTGTGATAACTTACGATTGATGTTAAAATGTTAGGATTGATCGCAAAGTACCACAAAATCGAAANACTTTTGTAACAACTTTTTTCACTATTTTTGTGATAACTTACGATTGATGTTAAAATGTTAGGATTGATCGCAAAGTACCACAAAATCGAAAGTCACCACAAAATTAATAAAAAATAATTATCAAAATAGTGATTAAAATACTCAAAAAAATTGTAAATAGTGATACAATATCTTTTTTTTTTTTTTGGAGGGGAGGGGGGGTGGTTTTTTGTGTATAAGGTAGACTTCGCCGTCACAATAAAACAGTTAATCATCAAAAGAAAAGAGTCTTACAAGCCATTCCCTGTGCCCTTGCAGGCCTTCAATGTCAAGAAGCTTTACAGCAACAGCTTGAGCCTTCAAACCAGCCCTCAAATTATCATCGACATAACCCTTATGCACAGTCCCAAACCCGCCTTCACCCAATAAGAAATGGCTCGAAAAATTCTGAGTTATGGCACGTAACTCACTGAGTTGAAAATCCAACAAGTCAGGCCCGAAGGACTGAGCAAGGTCTTCATTGATCCGAGTTGATGAAGAACGACTTAAGCTAGAGAACGATAACCGGCGAAAGGAAGGTAATGGGGCAATGTTCTTGGAAAAATCCGATCGCGAGGGCCGACAGCGGCTGAAGTTGCCGAAAACTGCCTGATCCTCGACGGAGCAGCAGTTTGCTGTAAAGGGTCTCCATGGCTTTGAGTTTGAGTCCTTCATTATTGCATGGAAAGATGGAGAGGTTGAGGAGGAATATAATGTGTAACCATGGGATTAACAAGAAACAAGCTTTCTTAGCTAAAAGCTAGACTGAGAGTGAGAGAGAGAGGACATTGTTTCTTTAACTGCTCCAACCACTCTACTCAATAGGGTACTTTGTTCTAATCTTTTGATGAGCATTATTTTTGTTCCTTGATTTGTCACCTATGTAATGTCATCATGCAAAAGGAGTGGATATAGTATGTAGGCCAAATGTCACCTTGGGGGGGTCCTTTCGGCTATCCAATAACTGAAAAGGACATTGAAGTGTGAATGAGGGCATAAACCAATAAAAGATTTGTAAAATAAATCAAGTAAATTGGGATTGGCTCGTTAAACACTTAATCAAGCTTGATTTGTGTGACTAATGAATTGGAAAACGAACCAAATTCAAACACATGTTAAGTTGGTAATTTTCTTAAGTTCGAATTGATAAATTATTTACCATTACAAAAATTCTATCAAAATTCATCTAATAGGTTAAACGATGACTCTTTTTGTTATTGGTTCGTAACATCAAAATACTATTCCAAAACTTAGTATTCTCTATCAATTGACTTGCATACACTACCCCAAAACTGTGAGTAATTTTTTCCTTCCAAGTTTATTTTAATTGTTTTTATGCAACAAAGAACATCATTAATTTTCAAAGAGGCCTCAATTTGAAGAAACATCAAAAATAATTATGTGAAGCATCATTTGTGAAGAGAGCATTGTTGGTGAGACTGGGACCTGGTGGTATTCTCCAAAATTTTCTATTGAACAACTTCCAAGATAACAGTGGGAAATAATACCCCATGATTGAATACAAATTCATCATTTCAAGCTAAATTTCGAGCTTTATATATGCAGAATACCATGAGGCAATCAGTTTATGCTATTTTTATTTTGGTAACAGATATATATATTTGAGTCGGGTTGGACTATTAATCTCATGGTGGGTGAGATGGACAAACAAATTTTATCATTCGATGCAACTCAACAAAGCTTTGTTTCGATAAAAAAAAAAAACTAATTGGGTGTAAAAATCAATTGGGCTTTCTAAAGAAAATAATATCTATGCCTTAAATGTCAAGGCATGAATCTCTTTAGGTTTTTTTATCAAGATCAGAGAATGCCAAAGTACACACACTAGTTTTAACAATGTGGAACCCACATTGTTTCTATCAGCAGCAACCAGAGTGATCTCAACCATCACAGCACTTATTGTCTAACTTTGTCTATATTTACAAGATATCTGGGGGAGTAGGTGAGAGAATGAGGCCATGAGTGACGCCTATACAAGCGCCATTCTCCTGCTCCACTTTAACAACCATTGTTTGGGTTCTCTAATTCTAGGGTCCGGTCATTGTACCGAAATGTATTCTTTTAGTATCGTACCTCTATTTTTAAATTAATAAAAAATTAATATGTAATTTTATTATTTTTATCAAATAAAGGGTTGAGATTGTATTTTGGCACTATATACCAAAGAAGTTATAACTGTTCAAGAAAGATCGTGATCGATTATAAACACTTATGATCAATCATGAAAAACGTAATATCGATCATAATCTTTGATGATTAATCATATTTTTTGAAGTGATAACCTGCACATTAAAAAAATTGTCAATTAATTTTAAAAAATTATAAATTTGTATACCAATATCGCTGACGATACCATAAAACGCCTCCTGCTATTATGTCACCTATAGATAAAGTTGCTTGGCACTGAAAATTCTGTGGCCTCGGCTGTTTTAGGCAGTGAAGCTCTTCCCCAGATTTGGTGTGGAAGTGTCCGTACCACACATTGTCCTGGGCGGGGTGAAGATTTTGAGCTCTTACCAGTTACCACCCTCTTATGTTGGGAAAATGAGGATATACCCCTCTCAGAACCCCGTCTAATCACATAATCATTTTAAACTCCTAAAACTTTTGCGCTCGGAGGGTGAATTTTATGTGAATTCATGTTCTAATTTTATAAAATCCGTGAATTTATTTTTTAATTCATAAATTCGATTAATTCGCATTGTTACTTACTTATATATTTACTTATTATTACTCAAAATTTTATTTGAGAAGTACTGACCGAGGTCTAATGATACATATCAAATTAGAATAATATTTATAAACTATAATTGTTATTTTAGAATTTTATAATCAAAAATATATTTGAAAATTAAATGTTTTGTGTCATAATTGTACATGAAATTTTAATTTTTTATATTTTATTTATATTAAATTTTAATAAGTGAATGTGTGTCTGTATGCATATAATACAACACTCTCAAAATACTCTTGCTCTCAATTTTTTTTAAATATNCAACACTCTCAAAATACTCTTGCTCTCAATTTTTTTTAAATATTGATATTTTTACGCTCCTGCTCTTGCTCACGCATTTCTTTTTTGTCATTTTTACTTAATTCATATACTTCTCTCGATCTAAATAACGAAAGTTGATTTACTTTTGAGGGTGTAGTCTTTGTCCATTTGCCATTATTTGTACAAAATGACTGTTATCATTATTGAACCCATGATGTGTATAGATTGGCCAAAGCCAAGNATATATATGCAGAATACCATGAGGCAATCAGTTTATGCTATTTTTATTTTGGTAACAGATATATATATTTGAGTCGGGTTGGACTATTAATCTCATGGTGGGTGAGATGGACAAACAAATTTTATCATTCGATGCAACTCAACAAAGCTTTGTTTCGATAAAAAAAAAAAAAAACTAATTGGGTGTAAAAATCAATTGGGCTTTCTAAAGAAAATAATATCTATGCCTTAAATGTCAAGGCATGAATCTCTTTAGGTTTTTTTATCAAGATCAGAGAATGCCAAAGTACACACACTAGTTTTAACAATGTGGAACCCACATTGTTTCTATCAGCAGCAACCAGAGTGATCTCAACCATCACAGCACTTATTGTCTAACTTTGTCTATATTTACAAGATATCTGGGGGAGTAGGTGAGAGAATGAGGCCATGAGTGACGCCTATACAAGCGCCATTCTCCTGCTCCACTTTAACAACCATTGTTTGGGTTCTCTAATTCTAGCGTCCGGTCATTGTACCGAAATGTATTCTTTTAGTATCGTACCTCTATTTTTAAATTAATAAAAAATTTATATGTAATTTTATTATTTTTATCAAATAAAGGGTTGAGATTGTATTTTGGCACTATATACCAAATTGGTAGCCTGACCTTGATACTTTTTTTTTTTTTTTTACTGATTTGTATAATAAAGTTATAACTTTGAGAGAAAAAGTTATAACTGTTCAAGAAAGATCACGATCGATTATAAACATTTATGATCAATCATGAAAAACGTAATATCGATCATAATCTTTGATGATTAATCATATTTTTTGATGTGATAACCTGCACATTAAAAAAATTGTCAATTAATTTTAAAAATTATAAATTTGTATACCAATATCGCTGATGATACCATAAAACTCCTCCTGCTATTATGTCACCTATAGATAAAGTTGCTTGGCACTGAAAATTCTGTGGCCTCGGCTGTTTTAGGCAGTGAAGCTCTTCCCCAGATTTGGTGTGGAAGTGTCCGTACCACACATTGTCCTGGGCGGGGTGAAGATTTTGAGCTCTTACCAGTTACCACCCTCTTATGTTGGGAAAATGAGGATATAGCCCTCTCAGAACCCCATCTAATCACATAATCATTTTAAACTCCTAAAACTTTTGCGCTCTGAGGGTGAATTTTCTGTGAATTCATGTTCTAATTTTATAAAATCCGTGAATTTATTTTTTAATTCATAAATTCGATTAATTCGCATTGTTACTTACTTATATATTTACTTATTATTACTCAAAATTTTATTTGAGAAGTACTGACCGAGGTCTAATGATACATATCAAATTAGAATAATATTTATAAACTATAATTGTTATTTTAGAATTTTATAATCAAAAATATATTTGAAAATTAAATGTTTTGTGTCATAATTGTACATGAAATTTTAATTTTTTATATTTTATTTATATTAAATTTTAATAAGTGAATGTGTGTCTGTATGCATATAATACAACACTCTCAAAATACTCTTGCTCTCAATTTTTTTTAAATATTGATATTTTTACGCTCCTGCTCTTGCTCACGCATTTCTTTTTTGTCATTTTTACTTAATTCATATACTTCTCTCGATCTAAATAACGAAAGTTGATTTACTTTTGAGGGTGTAGTCTTTGTCCATTTGCCATTATTTGTACAAAATGACTGTTATCATTATTGAACCCATGATGTGTATAGATTGGCCAAAGCCAAGTAGAATNAAAAAAAAAAACTAATTGGGTGTAAAAATCAATTGGGCTTTCTAAAGAAAATAATATCTATGCCTTAAATGTCAAGGCATGAATCTCTTTAGGTTTTTTTTATCAAGATCAGAGAATGCCAAAGTACACACACTAGTTTTAACAATGTGGAACCCACATTGTTTCTATCAGCAGCAACCAGAGTGATCTCAACCATCACAGCACTTATTGTCTAACTTTGTCTATATTTACAAGATATCTGGGGGAGTAGGTGAGAGAATGAGGCCATGAGTGACGCCTATACAAGCGCCATTCTCCTGCTCCACTTTAACAACCATTGTTTGGGTTCTCTAATTCTAGCGTCCGGTCATTGTACCGAAATGTATTCTTTTAGTATCGTACCTCTATTTTTAAATTAATAAAAAATTTATATGTAATTTTATTATTTTTATCAAATAAAGGGTTGAGATTGTATTTTGGCACTATATACCAAATTGGTAGCCTGACCTTGATACTTTTTTTTTTTTTTTTACTGATTTGTATAATAAAGTTATAACTTTGAGAGAAAAAGTTATAACTGTTCAAGAAAGATCACGATCGATTATAAACATTTATGATCAATCATGAAAAACGTAATATCGATCATAATCTTTGATGATTAATCATATTTTTTGATGTGATAACCTGCACATTAAAAAA